AGGAAGAGGCGGAGCAGACGGAGGAGGGAGGGCTGCGTTCGCCGAACACTGGCTAGCGGGACGGGGAGGAGGAGGAGGGAGAAGGAGGAGGAGGGGGAGGAGCAGGAGGAGGAGGAGGAAGGAGGAAGGAGGATGGAGGGGGAAGGCGGAGGAGGAAGGAGGGAGGAGGAGGAGGATGAAGGGGGAGGCGGAGGAGGGCGAGGAGGAGGAGGAGCAGAATGCGGCGGAGGAGGAGGAGGAGGAGGAGGAGGAGGAGGAGGAGGAGGAGGGATGCAGAGAGAGAGGGCCCGAGGATCGAAGATCTTGGGCGTACATTTGGTTTTGGTTCGGGGCCTCCGGCCTCCGGGGGGGAGGGAGGAGGACAGTGGGGGACACAGGCGCGAGGAGCGAGGAGAGGGGAGGAGCGAGGAGGAGTAGAGGGGAGGAAGAGGAGGAGGAACAAGGAGGGGGAGGGGAGGAGCGAGGAGGAGGAGCAAGGAGGGGGAGGAGGAGGAGGAGGAGGAGGAGGAGGAGGAGGAGGAGGAGGAGGAGGAGGAGGAGGAGGCGGGAAACGGTCTTAGGTCGTTTTGGGGGAGCGGAGAACAGGGGTGGGGAGCTCGACGGGGGGCGATGGGGAAGGAGGAGGAGGAGGAAGAGGAGGAGAAGCAGGACGACGAGAACAGCTGAGGACGGTGGAGGAGGGGGGAGGAGGGAGGAGGACGACAAAGGGCACAGGCTTGAGAGGAGATGGAGATGGGGGGCTGGGCAGATAGAGGGACACGCACGAGAAGGGGTCATGTGTGACAGAGAGGTGGAGACCGGAGAAGCATGGAACAGAGGACACGTTCGTTGGGCCTGTTGAGAAAGGCTGTAGCTGGCTCAGTGATGTCCTGGGAGGTCTCAGGACGAGGTGTCAGAGGAGCAGGAGGAGGGAGGCGCGCAGTCGTGATGGGTGGAAGTGTTTTTTTTTTGTGTGTGTGTGTGTGTGTGTGTTTTTTGTGTGGGGGGATGCTTTCGGGTGTCCTTCAGGTCTGGGTGCCTCTGCCGCCCCTGCCAACATGAACGGCAGGAGGTTGGAAAAAGATGGCTTCGGACTTAAAAAGCCACGGAGAAGAGCTATCGAATGACACACCTATTGCTTATGCGAGCGTGTGTACGTGCTTACCTTGGCCTTGGCGGATACGGATATACCCATATATTTATATACAGATCTATGTGATATGTATGTATGTATGTATGTATGTATGTATGTATGTATGTATGTATGTATGTATGTATGTATGTATGTATGTATGTATGTATGTATGTATGTATGTATGTATGTATGTATGTATGTATGTATGTATGTATGTATGTATGTATGTATGTATGTATGTATGTATGCATGCATGCATGCATGCATGCATGCATGCATGCATGCATGCATGCATGGATGGATGGATGGATGGATGGATGGATGGATGTATGTATATATTATGGGGCGGTGTGGAGGAGGGCCATGCGCAGCCGGTGCCCACTCAGAACAGGCCAGGACGGCCGACGCTGAGCGAACAGGCCGAGCTGCCGTGGCTTGAGAGCCCCCTCGGTGCCCACGCTGAGAGGATGCTGTTGTTGACGTTGTTGCGACGCCTCGCGACAAACGCATAAGCAGTTAACACAACTTAGCGCGGTGCGCGATACCTCCGCACAGCTGCCTTCCAGCTGGCTGCTGGGCGATCGCTGTATTCTCGCTTGGAAAACCGCAGGCGTCGCAGACGGCAGCGGCATGCCTGCCAACTTCTCTGGCCCACGTCTGCCTAGGACGACCTCTCTTCCTAGCGCGGGGTTGCTTTTTCAGAACGCACGACCTAATTAACTGATGATGACCTTGAGACGCCCCTGGCTACCTTGCTACAAACATGTTTGGGCCCTATGGGGGGGCGACCATGTCGATACCAACCACCTCCCAAAATCAAAGAAGGGTAGCTCCCTGGGCGGCGGATATGACTGAATTCCGGCCGAGGAACTCTCTCCTTCCCCTCCATCATCCACCCCTTCCTTCTCTCCTCCCGTCCCTGCCTGCGTTCCCCTCGCTTTCCTCCCTTCCCGCCCCTTCCCTTCCCTGCCGTTCCCTCCTCCCTTCCCTTCCTTCCTCCCCGCCACTCTGCCCCGAGAGCGGCACAGGAATGGAAGGAGCAAAAGAGAGGCAGACGATGGGGCGCCTGGTCCCCGGTGAAGATGGGCTTGCCGCCGAGCGCGTCCCGGAAGAAGGGCACGTCCTCTCCGCGCGGCCGCTTGGGCACCCTGCCCTGACCTCTCGTGTCGCGGAAGAAGCACGACGGAAGCTCTCTGGCTACCTTCGCCCTGCGGTGGCTCCTACAGGGCGCCGGGACCATCAACAGACGACTCAGGATGAAAAGCCGTCCCCGGGGGAGGGGTCCAGACATCCAGGGGCCAACGTTGTGAAAAGCACGGCGTAGGATGTCTGGGTACGACCTTGGGAGGGAAGGGGGGTGGGAAGCAGTTTGATCGAGGATTTAGTTCTGACATGTTTTGCAGGTTCTCGGCCTCCAAACGCTTCATGGCACCTCCAATGACACCAAGAGGCCTACAGGCACCGCTGGGGACATGCGCAGGGACCTCCGGCCCTGAGCCCTGAGGGCCCCAAACTCTGAGGGCAGTAAACCCCAAAATTCAGACATACGTTGAACGGTTCCTTGGATAATGCTGGATGACGGTTGATAAAAAAATGGTGGAGAACGACTTTTAAAAACTAGTTTCCCGCTATTTCTGCTAATTTTCTGACTGGAGGAGAACGATTTAAAACATAGTTTTCCAGCCCGCGGCCGGTTTTTTCTAACCGTCATCCCGGGCGCCGCCGCGTGAACACGACCCCCGGTCATTTATTAATCGTCATCCTCCATTATCATTCGGCATCTCCAGGAGGAGAAGCCATCGCCATGCCTCAAAGCAGACGCGCCGGAGGCTTCCGCACTGCCCCCCGAGGACCCCCACCTTCCGAACCTTCGCCCAGCGCAGCAGAAGCCGCCGCAACCGCTACAGTCGAGGCGTTGACCTAAGGAACCCTAAATAAGGAGCGAGGCCCCTTTTTTCCATAAGTTGAACTTCGATTCCCCATCGAAAACCTTGGGAAAACCTGAGGCAAGCTGCGAAACAATCAAGGAACACGGAGCCCCTCCCCAACGAAAAGGGTTTCTCCTTCAGGGCCCCATACTGTACCACGATCGAGCCTGGACTTGGAAGAGGCGTTTCGCAGAGCAGGGCGCAGCGCGCAGCCTTCCGAGCCTGGCCTCTGGCGGCCAGGCCCCATCCCACTGCTCCCCGTGGCTGTCTCAGGGGTGGCAGGCGTACTATTGTTTAGGTCGGGCATGTCCTCCTAAAGGCGGGCTTTGGAAGCAAAATTTCAAATAGTCAAACTTTTGCAAACATAACACACACATAGTCGAAAAATGAACCAGCCTAGTTTTGACTATTGTTGAAGACAACTCCTGAAGAGAGACACGCTCGGTTTAACACTATCTGAACTCACGGATGCCGAGGTCGTGTGGCTCAGGGTGTGCCTGCTACCTGTTCCAGTGTGATTCTGCAATGCGTCCGACGCTCCAAAAACGGCATGCCCGCTCGGTGCCGTGCTGGGAGGCGTTCCCGGTAGCTGCTTGCCTGCGCGCGTGGGGCCGGGGAGGGATGAATGCCACAACGTCTTCGCTTTCAGCCTGGGTAAACCAAAACTGTGGGCTTCCTGAACTGGAGACGGGATCTCGACCGTGCAAGAGCGGGCCGAGGAAGAAGGGGGAGAGGGCGAGGAAGAAGGGAAGGAGGGAACGAGGGGGGAAGAGATAAAGGACTGAGATGTATGCCAAAGCTTGCCCCTGGAACTACAAATCATGAAGGAGGAGAAAGTGGTGGTGGTACTCAGCATCTTGTCGAGTCTGCATCTGCAATATGATGACAATTGACTGCTGTGCGCATAGATGAGGGCAACCCCTCTCGCGAAACTTGACAGTTGGCACTCCTGTCACGACTGATTATTCAATCTGGGAACGCCTTGGATAACGTTAGGGCCGAGAAGGCTAACAGAACCGTCCTGAGCAATACACGGTGGCACGAAGTCCCGAGAAAAAGAAGAAAGGCTACTCAGCTCGCCCACGCACAAACACGGAGGAGGAGGAAGAGGAGGAGGAGGAGGAGGAAGAGGAGGAGAAGGAAGAGGAGAAGGAAGAGGAGGAGGAGAAGGAGGAGGAGGAGGCGGGGGAACAGCAGAGTACCTCCTGCACAGCGGGGTGCCGCTCCCGCTGGGCTCCCGCCGCCTCCCCGCCCTCCCCGCTCCTCGCTGGAGGGGGGGGATATACGGGCCTCGGAACAAGTTGGCGAGCACCAAGGCTGGGCTAATGGCGGTGCTGCCTAACGGTGATGGTGGGAACCGCGCTGCCTCTTCCACACTCATCTGTCAATCCAGTCAGCGTATTAACAGAAGGAAGCCACGATAAGGAACGGAGGGGCATTTCTAGCCACGGTGAGCCTGGGCCACGAACAAGTTCCACGACATGATGACCGCGGTATCCCCTGCGAGAGTCAGGCTTGAGTTTGGGGAAGTGCGGAAGTGTCCACTCAGCGTTCCCCTCTACCGCCGGCATGAAGAAGCAACAAGCAACTGCATAGACACAAACTTCCGGAGCCCCGCGCGGACTTCTCGGACCTGCGCTGGAACCCCGGAGTCAAGGAGGGGGGCCCAGCGCCGATCCTGCGGAACCCCGACAGCTCATGCCGTGTCTTCGCCTTCGAGGGGGAGGCCCTGCGCTGGCTGCACGCAGGAGCGGTGGTCTGTGCCCGCCGCTGCCTGCGATGCGACCGCAGCGACCTCTGCGTGCTCGGCGGACAGCCCCGGGTGGGGAGAGTGAGAGGGGGAAGGTTTCTCCGAAGGTGAAGGGGCCCTGGGACACACAGATAAATACACACAAATCACAGGATTCTCCATACTTTCCCATATTTTCTGGGTTTTTGTCTTCCCCCCCCACTTCCCAGATTTTCTGGGGAATCGACGATTCATTGTGTCTGTGTGTTTTTTCCCTCCTGAGAAGGCTTCGAAGTCCCCCGGCCTTCCCAGAAGTTGTCTGAGCCTTCCGCGAAGACACAGAACACTCCTCAGAAGTCGCGAGGGCTCTTGAGGAGTCCCGCCGCCTCCTGAGAAGGCCTTCTCCCTCTCACTTCTAGGGGAACGAACAATGACGTAAATTTACACACTCGGAGGTCCGCGCGGACCTCCAATTCTTTGATGCTTATGTCATTGCTTGTTTCCCTAACTTCCCCACCCGTCGCTCGCCGCCGATATGCGCCCTCCCTCAAGCCACGAACCCCGAAGGCCACTCCAGCTTTCTGGCGGCAGGGCCGTTTTGTCACCGTTTCCAAACAAATGTCCCTTGAAAATGGAAACAGCAAAAAAACGGCGACCAGAAACGGCAAACAAAAACGGCTCCAGGATTGGAACCGGAGCCGGAACCGGTCAAAAAACGGCGACGGAGCCCGTAAAAAAACAGCGTCGGAACCGGCAAAAAAACGGCAAAACGGAACCGGTAAAAAAAAACGGCCCTGTTGTTTCCAGGGCCCACTAAGCACTCCAGTGAGCAGGTCACTCTTGCCTGCCGCCGACTACGCGCGGCCCACTGGCCCTGGTCCTTGCCCGCGAACTTGGACGTGACGCCCTCGCCGGTGATGAGGCCCGTCCCCTGCTCGGAGCGCCAGCCGCGGCGCGGGCACTCCTCCTGCTCCTCCTGCTCCTCCTCCTCCTCCTCCTCCTCCTGCTCCTCCTCCTCCTCTTCCTTCTCCTCCTCCTCCTCCTGCTCCTCCTCCTCCTCCTCCTCCAACTCCAACTCCTCCTCCAAGTCCAAGACCAACTCCAACTCCAACTCTAGCTCCAACTCCAACTCCAAGTCCTCCTGCTCCTCCCCTGCCCGCCTGTGTCGGCGCCACCGCCGCTGGACGCGGTTCGACAGATTGGTCGGACCATTGTTCGGGTTCCCAAAACCGTGTGGTGACGGATCAAGACGGTGAACCCAGAACCCCCAACGACCTCACCGCGCGGTCCGTCACCGCAAGGCCCTGGGACCTCGAAGGCCCAAGTCGCCCGAGACGCCCTCGGAGCACGACCCCGAGCCCCGAGACCGTGCGGTGACCCCGGCTCCCCACCGACTCCCCATACCGGCCCTTCTCCGAATGTTTGGCTTCTGGGTCATGATTCTGGTCTCAGGCGGACGTTCGGGACGATCCAGGCACCCCTGGGGCGCGCTCGGCGAGGTGCGGCTGCTGGAACGCAGATCCCGAGGCGGGGAAAACCCCCAGGAGCCGCGGAGAACACCTGGAGCGAAGACCTCCTCGGAGACCGACCCGAGGCCCAAGACCGTGCAGTGACCCCGACTCCCCAACCGACTCAGCCCGCGGCGTGGTCACCACACCCATTGGGGGCCCCCACGCTGAGGCCCTCGGCATCCTCGGGCCCGCGCCGGGGGCTGGCAGGCGACGTTCGGCCAGCGCACCAGGGGGCCCGAGGTTGGGGCCCGACGTCGCCAGAGCCCAGCCGAGCCCTCCGACGCTTTCAGGGCCCATCCGAGCCGCCCTGCTTCTCAGCCTCATCAACCTCCTCCTCCTCCGTCCACAACTCGCCCTTTTCCTCCTCCTCCTCCTCCTCCTCCTCCACCTCGTCTCCTCCTCCTCCCCTCCTCCTCCAACTCCTCCTCCAACTCCTCCTCCTCCTCCTCCTCCTCCTCTGCTCCTCCTCCTCCTCCTCCTCCTCCTGCTCCTCCTCCTCCTCCTCCTCCTCCTCTTCCTCCTCTTCCTTCTTCTCCGTCTTCTCTTCTTCTCCTCCTCCTCCCTCCGCCTCCTCCTCCTCCTCCTCCTCCTCCTCCTCCTCCTCCTCCTCCTCCTCCTCCTCCTCCTCCTCCCCCTCTTCACTGTCGGCGGGGCGGCGGAAACGCAGCGGCACGCGGAGGCCACGCCGCCGGGTGCTAGCCGGCGCGACTGGCGCGCGGCGCGCGCCAGGCGAGCACGGCCACAGGCAGGGGCCTCTCGCGGCCGAGGCGGGGGCCTCCACGGCGGAGGCGGAGGCGAGGGCACCGGCGGAGGTGTCCTCGGCGCGACCCTCTGGCCTTCCAGGGGGGGGCAACAGGAGTAGCACCAGGAGGTCGGCGTCCAGACCCCAGACGGGGCTCTGGACCGCCCAGACAGGTCCATAGGTCTGGAGGGCGATGTCTTTAGCACTCTCGCCCTCTGGCGGGGACGGTGGCGGCAGCGGTGGCAGACGGTGTTTGGCGGAGGCGGGGGCCGACGCGGCCGCTCGGGCGGCAGAGATTGGGCGGCGGCTCGGAGGTGGAGGCGGCGGCCGAGGAGGCGGCAGGCCGAGAGGCAGGGAGAAAGAGGAGCTGGTGTGCAGCGCGGGGGCCGCGAGGGCCTCCACGGGAGCGTGGCTATGGCAGGTCGCGAGCGGGAGGTGTTGATTGCATCGGAACTCCAGACCTCCTCGCGCTGTGACAAAAATCACGACGGGAGGTTTTTCGCTATTTTCGGCCTCCGGGGGCCCTTCCTGGGCCTCGGGGCCGTCAAGGTGAGACTCAGGACGAACAACTGGTCCCGGGGAAGGGTCCTGACCTCTGGGGGTCGACGTTGTGAACAAATCACGACGTCGGGGGTCTGGGACAGCCGCTGGCGAAGCCCATCAAGAAGACTGGGCCGAAGGCCCCGACGCGGAGGAGCCGCTGGGGGGGCAGCAGCGGTGGAGGCGTCCATGGGTGCGCACTGCAGCCCTGCGGGCCACCGTGAGTGGTCGGGAAGCCGCGCTGGAAGATGCGTCCCAGGAGAGGGCGCCGCAAGCTGCCGCCTCTTGATCCGCCTCCGTTTTCTTCTTCGCAGTCTCCTCTTTCTCTTCCTCCTCCTCCACCTCCTCCTCCTCCTTCATCCCAGACCTTCGCCATCGAATTGCTTGTTTGTAACACCGGGCCTCTGGACTTTTCGGCAACCTGCCAGTAACGGGCTTCTTTGTACTGACGGTCTCGAGGGCCAAGTAAGGAAGCCAAATATTGCCAAGGACCTTCCGTCGTGAATTTCTCACCAAGTGAAAGGTCCGGGCCCCTCCCCGAGCCACAAGTGATCCTCCCTGTTCAGGGGCAACACAGCATCCCATCGGGGAGTCGGATGAGGACCGGGAACGTGCGCCGGATGGGGCCACACATCGGCACGGAGCAGCCGAACTCGGATCTCGGATCGGCCGCGCCCTGGTGCACGACGGCGCCGTGAAAGCATCGGGACACAGCGGATGGCCAAACAGTTCGGAACCGGATCGGACCGAGCCGGCCGGAACAGATAGATCGAATCGGACCGGAATCGCCGATTCTGGGAACTCTCGTGACCGTTGTTTTTGATCTTTCCCACGTAACGGTCGCTACCCGGGAGGGGGGGGGTCGGGCGGGAAGGCGACAGCAACGGCGGCCGCGGCGTGCAGCAGGGTGCGTCCGCGCCACTAGCGCTTCAATCGCCTGTGTGCACCACAGCAGGTAAGGGGGGGTCCAAACCATCCCCCCCCGCACGGTCGTCAGCGTTACCCGGGGATGCGAAGGGGGGAGGCTTGACCCAAGTAACGAGCGCTAACCCGGCGAAGAAGAGAAACAAAAAAAGGCTCACCCGTGGGCGAGCAACGACACCTGTACGTGTACGCCCCCCGCGGCCTTGCCTGCACGAACGTCCGCGCTGACACGCACTCCAGGGGAAACTGACCGCGTACGTGTACATATGTTGCTGGCCTCTGAACCTGGGTCCAAACATGATGGCGCCACGCCCTTACCTACCTGCCGCCTTCGCCCCACATGCCCCGCCGATGTGTCTGACCTCCGCCAGCTCCCGCCGGCCTGTGTCCGCCGAGAGCGAGGCGCGCCGAAGGCGATGCCCCAACTGGGCGGCGGCGCGCCCGGAGAGGACATATGCGAAGGGGCGGGCCAAGGCTCGGAAGCCCCCCGGCCTTCCGAGGAATATCCTGAAAGGCCTTCCCATGGAGACACGACAAGCCTCCCAGAAGGCGCGAGGGCTTCGGAGAGGCCCCGCCGCCTTCTGAGGAGGCCTTCTCCTTCTCACGTCCGTCCCCTCGCTCGCCGCCGATCCGCGCGGCGCGCCGCGCTGGCGGCCTGCGTGAGCCACCGCGAGAGCCGCCGCGTCGTCGTGCTCAAGGCCCCTTGTTCCCTTCGTCGCCCAACCGCCCCAACACAGGGGCAACGTGGGGGGGGCGATGGGGTCAGGGGGGAACGCATCGACCTCCATCTGCCCACTCATCGCCGATTGGGGCCCGCTAGCCCGTTTCGCCGCCGACGTACCTGTGAGTTGTTGGAGCCGCGGCCCCGGAGGCCCCCAACCGCTCCCCAAAGGGGCCATGTGTTTTCGCTGAGGGCCCCGTGCCGCGGGTCCGAGGGGGCCGGGAAAAAGGAGCCTCCGGTAGAAGAGGCCGAGGTCTCGAGGAAGCAACGCCCAGCACAGTAGGGGCTCGACCACAAGAGACCTTCCACAAGAGACCCAACCCTGAGACCCCAGAGGGTCCACTGATTTGTGGCGTGGGAACGTCCGAAGCTCCATGGCAAAGCTGTCGAAACCCAAGCAACCTGGGGCACCCTGGAGGCCAGGAAGGGTTGTTTCTTGGCCTGACCTGTGATCTGTTTGATCCGCGGCCCCAGAGGTCCCCACCGCTCCCCACCGTGCACGGCTGGTGTCGTCCAGGGTCGTCCCGTGCGGGTGGGCCGGGGGGGCCCGGGAAAAGGAGCCTCCCCAGAAGGGGCCGACGTTGTCGAGGAAGCAACGCCACATGATGCGGCCAACCCGTGTCATGAGGATGCGCGGTAGGGATGCCGGGGCCTTGGAGGCCCATGTCGACGTTTCTCGAGCGAGTCTGACCAGCGAGAGTCGCTGAGGATGGGCCGAAGGGGCACAGGACGCAAGGGTGCCCACTGGACGGAAGAAGGAGGTACACACATGAAGCATAGGAAGGCGCCGAAAGCAGATTTTGCGTGGCCGCCCGCCCCCCTGAAGAGAGGAAGGATAGGGCAAACACCACTCGATCCTGGAAGTAGGAAGGCGCCCACAGCAGATTGGGATCTGGGAATCCAGATCTACAGTCATCGGCCTGACCTAAGGAACGATAAATAAGGAACGAAGCCCCTTTCTTCAAGTAGGTCTACGAAGTCCGAAGGAACGGCCGAGCCCCTCATCGGCAAAATGAGCCCGCGCGTCCAACATCTGAAGGAACACCAGGGGGGCACGCCGCCACAAAGGTAGCAGAACGCATGCAAACCCAGGGAACGACCGAGCCCCTTTTGAAAAGCGAGTGTTCCTTACTCAAGCCGCTCGCTGTTCTCTCGAGGAAGGATGAGGCAGACACCACTCGATCCTGGAAGTAGGAAGGCGCCGACAGTAGATTAGGATCTGGGAACCCAGACCTGCTCTCAACGACCGGCGTTCGGCGGTGGACAAACCTCCCTTGAGTAAACCTCCCCTTCGTGAAAACGGCCTGGGACCGAAACCGACGGGCCTGGACCCGTAAAAACGACGGCCGCGACGCCCTCTCGAAGGCCAATTCCCTAATCGACGTGTCAAGGTAGCAGGTCTAACCCCAGGAAGCATTTAAGAACCCCCCCCCCCTCCGGCAAATCGATAACCCTTCCGCACCCTGGAAGCGTTACCTGGCACCAGGAGCGTTACCTTGTGCCCGGATGCTAAAGCTATCGTTCGGTTATTTCGGCCCCTCGGAATATCGAATAAAAAATGCGGTGATACGATATCGCCGGGGGGGTTCTTAAATGCTTCCTGGGGTTATCAACCTTCGAGGCGTGTACCCCTCGGGAGGACGGCCCGCCCTTCCCGTGCGGGCTGCTGGCCGTGCCCTCGCGGCGCCGGCCCCCCCCCCGAGGTCTGGGCGCCAGCTTCCCCCCGGGGCCGGGCGCTTCGCCCCGCGACTGGTCTGCTCCGGCCCTCGCTGCCCCGAGTGCGCGCCACGCGCAACACTGAAGGGGCCCTGGGACACACAAATAAATACACAAATAAAATGGTTCCCCATCTTTTCCCATATTTTCTTGGTTTTTGTCTTCCCGCCCAATTCCCAGATTTTCCCCTATTTTCTGGGGAATCGTCGATGAATTGTGTCTGTGTGTTTTTTCCCTCCTGAAAACACGCCTAGCGCATGGCTGCGGAGCTCAACGCGCAGATTGAAGAGGCACGTGTGGCGATGCAGGAGGAGCTCGGCCACAAGAGGCCTTCCACGAGAAGCCCAACCCTGAGACCCCAGGACGCGTCCGGCGATTTTTGGCGTGGGGCCGTCAGGCACTCTCCACGGCAGAACCAGCGGAGCCCGAGAAACCCGGGGCACCCTGGAGGCAAGCAGGGTGATTTTTGGCAGGGGCCTCCACGGTACGTTCGCCAACACGTGGGCCAACACGTTGAGCCAACACGCAGCGTGTCAGCACGGACGGTCTGAGCACGGCACGCGTTGCGCTTCAGAACGGGCGTGCCAGGGCAGCTAAGCAGTGGGTACTCTCACGACGTTGATCCCCAGAGGTCTGCACATGAGGGGCAACGATAGAGGGAAAGAGGCACAGGGGGGGAAACACCGACCCGGAATCGGCGATACCACGCCGATAGATCGGCGAGAGGCCCCCGATGGTGAATCCGCACGTTCCTGGTCAGGTCGGGGCTATCGGGCCCCTATCGGCGATCAATGGGCGATTAGAGGTCGATGCATCCCCCCCTATGCCTATCCCCCCCTCTCTGAGGACATCTTCCCTGGGGTCAGCTCTTCTTCCCGAGTCGTATTCTGACGGTCCCAGGGCCTAGCGCGGGCCCCCCGAGGCCAAATATTGACAGAACCTCCCGTCGTGTTCTCTTTCCACACGCGAGGATGTCAGAGCCTGAGGGTCAAGAATCGATCCCTGGAGCTATTCTGGGACGCGTTCTGGTTAGAATTTCAAGGCGGATCCAGCCATGGCGACGAGGAGCCCCATGGAGGCCCAAAAACCAAGAAAAGTCCACATTTGACCATCCCCTGACTTCGGACCCGCCGTACGTTGGGCGATTTCGCAAGTAGGGCGGACAATTCCGCTCTACGTTTCAAGCTCCTGTGATGTCAATGTTTGACCTACTTTGCTGTCACTGATTCCGCCAATACTTCTGTGGACATGTCCGTCCTGTTTTCTGGGGCGGGAATTTCCGCCCTGCTCATTCGAATCGCTTGGGGTAAAACTCCGGGGCAGTTTCAGGTAGGACGCTCAACCAAAGCGCGGTGGATCCGACGTCATGGCCGACCTCCTTCAGATGGGGGAGGCGCAGAGCTCCCGGCGGCGAAAGACTCATTACCCTTCCCCCCTTCGGAATCGTGGTCCTCAGCCGGCGCTCCAAAATCTGCTGCCTCCAGTGACTCGCGTGCTGCGGAACGACCGGCTCTGGCGACCTTGGGACGGTCCTTCGGGGATGGACAGAACCCCCTTTAGTAAAACGTGGTTTAGTGAAAACGACCTGAGGCCCAAACCTGGCGGGCGCGAGCCTGGAAAATAACGGCCACGGCGCCCTCTCGAGAATCGAAAACGGACAATTCACTAATCGACGTGTCACTGTTGGGGGTTCTGTCCACCTCCGAGTCCTGGAAGCACTGAAACCAAACAGGTTGTGGCGCCAACTCTTTGCAAGCAGCTTCAGACTTCCGCCGACTCTTCCGCCGAGCTTCCGCCGGCGGAGGCGCCCCCGTTTTACTTCTCCGCCGCCCGTCCGCCGCCCGTCCGCCGCCCCCCTCCGAGGAGGAGATGACGACTCCCTCGATCCTCGAAGGCGACGACCTTCCTGGAACGCCTCATCTATTGTTCTTGGCCCCAAAAGTGAATTTGATACCTTCGGGGCGGCGGACGACTTTCCTGGAACGCCTCATATATTGCTCTTGGCCCCAGAAGTGAATTTTTATACATTCGGGGGGCGGCCAAAGACGGGGGCGTCCAAGAGAGGGGGGGCGCCAATCATGGCCGGCGGCATGTGCGCGGCCCAGGGGGGGGGGGGGGCGACGAGGCGCCATGAAACCTGGGGAAACATCATGGCCCCCGCCATGCTATACCTCCCCCCCTAGTCAGCAACCCCCTCTAGGCCGCGACACATCCTCCCTGGACTCACAGGAACGAGGTCGGCGACTACACTGGGTGCGGTTTGCGAAGGGTGCGGTTTGCCTCCCGTCATGTCGGCCCCTCCCGCCCCCGGGGAACGGATGACACTGTCACCCAATGCGACCGAATCACATGACACTGCCGCTCCTTCTAGTACAGTGGAGAGCACACATCGAGGACGGCAGTGCCGCTCGACACGACGACGGTTCTGACATGATCTCTCACAAATTGCCCAGGAGAAGCCGCCACCAAGCAACTCGCAAACCGCACCTGACTACCTGCCAGACCACCCCAACCCAACCCGAAGACCCGAATTTCGGGTTGGGGGGGGTACGGGTTCCACGCGTGTTTTCTCTATGTTTCCCGACCCCCCCTACTAGAACTCGAGGGTAAATCTGAGCCTTCGCGTTGGGTTGGGGTGGCACCCCACCCCGGCGTAACCGCACCGACTGCAGCCGCCGACGAAAGCTCTGGGCCGGAGCCGCTCCGCGGAGGCGCCCCCGGGGCCTGCACCTCGTCCCAGCTCCCGACCACGCCGCACAGCCGCTCCGCGGCCCTGCCTCCGGGCGCCTCCACGGCGAGGCCGTCGGCGCCGATGACCTCTGCGAGGCCGCGCCGCCGTCGCCGCCGCCGCCGCGGCCGTCGCCGCGGCCGTCGCCGCCGTCGTCGTCGTCGTCGTCGTCGTCGTCGTCGTCGTCGTCGTCGTCGTCGTCTGGGTCGCCGTCGTCGTCGTCGTCTGGGTCGTCGTCTGGGTCGTCGTCTGGGTCGTCGTCTGGGTCGTCGTCTGTGTTGTCGTCGTCGTCATCTTCGTCGTCGTCGTCATCAAGGGGGGAGCGTCGTCGTCGTCGTCATCTTCGTCGTCGCCGTAATCAAGGGGGGGGGGGGCGTCGTCGTCGTCATCAAGGGAAGGGAGAGGGAGGAGGCTCCTGGTGCTGGAACCAAACAGGCACTGCCGGGCCTCAGCCAAACCGTCTGTCGACACGAGAGAATCTGAGAAGGGTGGGCGCACTGGGCAGAGGCTCCACGCCCGTCCGGGACTCCCCACCAGAAGGAGCCGCACCCCCCCTGCAGCACAGAGCGACACTGCCAGAAGCAGACCCCCACCGAAGACATGCTCGAGCAGTGGAACAAAATCACGGCGGATTCGGTCTGACCGCTCTCGGCCTGCGGCGGCCCTCGCCAAGCACCCTGGGACCGCCAAAGACCGCCTCGGGATGTACAAAACAACGGCCCTGGGGAAAGGGTCGGGAAATCAGAAACTCCGGCTGGAACAACTGCGCCCTGACCGCACGCACGCCTCCACAGCCGCACGCATGGCGACGATGCGGGGGCACATCAGCAAAGAGGAGGAGCGAGCTGTACCTGCTCGGCCGCCCAGCAAAGAGATCAGCGAGAAAAGAAGCCCCCGACTGCGGGGAGGCAGGCCGCTCAGATGCTGAGGGTGACGAACCGGCTCTTTGGTTCAGCGTTGGTGAAGAAGGCGGGTACAGTCGGGGTGTTGACCTAAGGAACCCTAAATAAGGAACGAGGCCCCTGTTTCCCTTAACTTAAACTTCGATTCCCCATGGAAAACCTAAGGAAAACCCAAGGCAAGCTGTAAAACAATCGAGGAACACCGAGCCCCTCCCCAACGAAAAGGGTTCCTTCTTCAGGGCCCCGGCTGTATGCCCCAACTGAAGGGGCCCCAGGACACACAAATAAATACACATAAATAAACTGATTCCCCATATTTTCCTATATTTTTTGAGTTTTTGTCTTCCCTCCCACTTCCCATATGTTCCTATATTTTCTTGGGAGTGGACGATTAATCGTGTCTGTGTGTTTCTTTCCCTCCTGACCAACACACGGTCGAAGGAGGACGAGGAGGACGCAAGAAGAGCGATCGTCGCGAGATCCGCGCGCGGATCGCTTGCGGGTGGCGGGAGACATCCGCAGCCCGGGGGTGCCAGAGCAGGCAGGGAGCCGGAGGCGGGGCGGGACAGGCCAGCGAGCATCGGCGAGCCGTCATGACGAGGGGGGTCAGGACATAATGAGGAGGACGAGAAGGGATGATGAGGATGAGGAGGAGGAGGAAGAGAAGGAGGAGGAGGAGGAGGAGAAGGATAAGGAGGAGGAGGAGGGGGAGGAGGGGGAGGAGGACCATAATAAACCCAAGACGCATCAACTACGCTCTCCCTTTAGGTTCCCTCTTCACAGGTCCCTGCAAGAACGTATCTGCATTGCGGGGAACGCCCCGTTGAAAGACAACTGCTTGAGCACCCCAACCAGTGCCGCGACGCACGTCCTAAGACTTCCACGCCACGCATCCGCGTGAAAGCTGCAGCCTGGCGCTCCCACATCGTGCCAGGAACCCATTTCCGGGACTTCAGCACCAGCCCTGGGTGCTGGAACAGGCAGCGTGCTGGAGGCTGGGCGGGACGGGCCAGCGAGCACCAGCGAGCCTTCATGACGAGGGGGGTCAGGAAAAGTTGATGATGGGGAGGAGGAGAACGAGGAGGAGGAGGAGGAGGAGGAGGAGGGGAAGGAGGAGAAGGAGGAGGACCAGAGTAAGCCCAAGACGCATCAATAATGCTGAACTACAGCCTGCCTCCAGATTCCCTCTTCACGGGTCCGTCCCCGCAAGAATTTATTTTCATTGCGGGAAATGCCCCGTTGAAAGACAACCGTTTGAGAATCCCCAATCGTGCCAAGGCTGCCACGACGCACTTCATGAGACTTCAACGCTACGAACCCACGTGAATGCTGCATGTCTGATCACATCGTGCCAGGACTCCAATTCTGGGAAATCACCACCGCGAATCAACCTGATTGCCGCGTCCTGACAATCCTAGATCTTGCCACTCTACCATCCCTTGGACTTCAACCCCACGGAGCTTGCACACATCATCCGCAAACGTGGAAACCGAATGTGTGCGGCGGCAGAGCGCGAGCCACGGGATGAAAACCCCCCGCCTTCCATCCCAGAAGCTGCTCCAGGCGTTGTAAAAAAAGCGCGCGGAGCCAAGCAGAAAGCCACACTTTGAAAACGACCTGCCCTCCATCCTCGGAGCTCCCGCAAGCTGGAAACGAATGCGCACTTGGCGAAAGCGAGAGCCACAGGTTGAAAACGACGCGCCCTCCAGCCTGTGGGAACCTGATATTGTCACGAACCCCGACCTTGGAGGACAAGTGCGCGTGAATTGCGAGACAGAGAAAAACAAAGAAAAGGATGCCTATAGGACGCATTCTGCTGGTTCCCGTGTTGTCCGTTTGACGCTGTGCCGCTTTGTCGAGGCGCCTCCAGCCGTCGTGGGGCCCTCTTAGGTTGTCCTGAGGCTCTGTTGGGCGCTTCTGGGGGCTTGCTGGAGACCTCCTAAGGTGAGCTCAGGAAATTGCCATACGAGCTAGGAAGTCTCGGGGCTGTCCGTTTGTCGCTGTGAGGCTTTGTCGAGGCACTTCCAGCAGTCCTGGAGCCGTGGGGCAGTCCTGGGGCCCTCGTGGGAGCTTCTGGGGGCTTCCTGGAGGCGTGGTGAGGTCTTGAGGCTTGTTGGGGTCGTCTTGGGGGCCTCTCGGGGCCTCCTCAGGTCCTTCAGCCGTCCTGGCGCCCTCCTGAGGGATTCCCGGGCTGTCCGTTTGTCGCTCTGACGCTTTGTCGGGGCGCTTCCAGCAGTCCTGGGGTCTTGGGGCAGTCCTGGGGCCCTCTTTTTTTTCGGGGGGGGGTCCCAGGAGTTGAGGAGTGTGAAGGCGCCAGCGAGTGCCACGCGCCCAGAAGTCGTGCAAGGCTTCGAGTGCCCGCATTCGGCCCTGCGACGTGGGCAGAAAAACAAAAACACGCCTGCTGCAGCCGAGCGCTGGCCTCCGAAGGTTTCGGTGCCACGCACTGAACGCATGGCAGCTGGGGCGGCGAGGGTACTCAATGAACAATGGGAGGCAGTGGCCACAGCCCTCGCTCGAAAGCGTGGAGCAAAGACAGACATGAAAAAATCCTCAAATATTATAATGTTGAACGAAACAAAGTCAGTGGGAAGGGCACGGCCGGCCGACCAGGTATTTCCAGTCGGTCGAAGAGGCCTCAAGCACCCGGGCCCTCGAAATGAGCACCTCGGGTTCATGTGGCCAGGGAAGCTTCCCACTTAGAAACATTGAAACTTTCTCATACTGAATACTGATCTAGCAAATGCGAAACTACGTGAAGCTCTGCCGCCGATGATGATTCACGGCTGCGTGCAGAGATTCAAGCGAGCGCACTAAACAAATCCCTCTCTGCACATGGCACGCCTTGATCGCGCGGCCTGGCTGGGCTGCCCGCTAGGAGGGCAGCTCGTGGTGGGCCCGTCGCCGCCAACCGGCGCGCTCTGGGGCGCGCTGCGCGGTGCCCGCGTCCTCGTCCTCGTCCTCCTTGGCCTCCCGCGCGCTCCCCCCCATCCCCCACATCCCGCGCATCCAATGAAAATGTCAACCGCGCGTTCATTAGGCAGCTGGCCTCGGGGCGATGAAAGGGTGAAACTTGGGGTTCTTAATGCGGCGCAGCCGGCTCGCCTTCCACATCCTGACGTTCTCCGAGTAGCCCTGCGTCGCCGACGCGGTGACCTCGATCACGGTCCCGCTGGTTCCAGCACCGGCAACTCCAGTCAATCGCGATCCGTTCCACAAGACGGAAAACTCGCGGGCGTCGCTTGAGGCGGCAAAATTCACAAATGCGATCCCTCTAGTGGTACCGCTGTCAAAAGTTGCCGGCATGTAGGCGTAGTCGTAGCGGTTCTTGAAACCAGCCCTGTCGATGAGGTCCAGCAGGTCACGCTGCGTAACAGACATTGGGATGTTGAGGATCATGAGCGTGGTGATTGCTGGAGCGCCAGGGGTGGCGGGCGCCGCCTCCTCGGTGGCTGCCGGCATGCTGTCAACGAGCTCGCCCTGCTGAAGCTCCATCTCCGCCAGGTCGGCCTGCTGCTCGCGGATCCTGCGCCTGAGGTCTTGGGCCTGCTGCTGGACCTGGGCCAGCAGCTGCTCCTGCGCCAGGAGCCGGGCCCGCATGTCTGCCAGCGCCGTGGCGGCCGCGGGCGTGCCAGTGGAGGCCCCTGCCCGCCCTCCGCTGGCCGGCTGTCTCGCCCGCGCCGCGCGGTCTGGCTCGCCTGGGGGGCCCGCGGCCAGCCACGTCTCGGCGGTGGAACGCGGCGGCATGCCGGGCGGCCTGGTCGGTGAATAGGCTGGCGCCGCCCCCGCGGAGCGATCGAGCAGAAGAGCGCCTACTGTGGTCAGAGGCAGAGCGCCCCCGCGCGGGTGGTCGAACTCGTCAAAGGTCTTCCAAGACTCGCCGCCGCTCGACTGCAAAATGGGGGGGTCTTCCTGCCTGCGCGGCAGCGACTGGCCATGGAGCAGCAGAACGCCTCCAGGCCGAGATGGCAGCTGCGCATCGGCCGCAGAGGGGGCGCCGCCAAGGCCCAACTGGGCTGAATCCTGCGCGTGTTCGGATGGGTTGCTGCTTTGGATTTCTGCCCGCCGACGCCTGCGTGGGTCGTCGAACTCGTCAAAAGTATTCCACGACTCGCCGCCGCTCGACTGCAACATGGGGTGGTTTTCCTGCCGGGCAAGCTGCGACTGCATGGAGACCGGATGCATGGTGGGCAGTGAGCCCCAACTGGGCAACGACGTACACATGCCACCTGATGCTTGGTCGAATTGGTGAGAGAAAGTGTAGGTCTCAAAATACTCATCGCTGTGAAAGCACTGAGATGAGGCACGCCTCGTGAACGAGTCCATTGTTTGCAATGGTAAGCGCCGAATCGGTGCAATTAACTATATCAGAGGGCACGCGCAAGATATCCTGACCGGAAGGCTCTTGAGCCCCAAATTGAGCCAAAATGGCTACGGGCAGTCCTGGGGCCCTCTTGGGAGCTTCTGGGGGCTTCCTGGAGGCGTCTTGAGGTCTTGAGGCATCTTGGGGTCTTCTTGGGGTATCATCACGTTCCCGTGTTGTCCGTTTGACGCTGTGAGGCTTTGTCGAGGAACCGCCAGCCGTCTTGGGGTTATCTTGGGGCAGTACTGCGCCCACCTTGGGCGCTTCTGGGGGCTTGCTGGAGGCCTCTGGAAGGTTCTTGGGGGCCTTTTGGGGCCTCTTCAGGCGTTATTTGGGCCTCTTGGGAACTTCTTGGGAGCTTCTGGGGGCCTCTGGAGTGGTGATTGGGGCGGAGAACCCGAAACCTCGGATTTCGTCGGAGGTTGTCAGGAACGTTTCTGAAGAAAAGGTGGCCACGAAACGACGATGCGTCTTGGAAGTGGGCTCAGTACGCGACTAGGCGAGTTACGAGGTGAGCTCAGCACGTGTCCATGCGAGCCACATGGAAGGGAGGGGGTGAGCTCAGCTCGCGACCGTGCGAGTCACGAGGTGAGCTCAGTACGTTTCCATGCGAGCCACAGGGAAGGGAGGGGGCGCGGTTACATATGACGGGCGAGAAAATTGAGTTTGGAGAATCTGGGGGCTCCTGGGGGCCGTCGGGTTTGGTTGGAGGTTGTGTCGGGGATGTGTCTGACTGTATAAGGACTGGATTGGACAACTTGCGGCGGTCGGGGGCCGCATGCGGCCGTACTGAAGCCTCCTGGAGGCATCTTGTGAGGCTTTCTGGCAACACGAAAACTCGCTTGGGGTTTCTCTGCGACAGCTGTCCAGAGGGAAAGGCGGCCAGAAAAACAACGGTGCGTCTTGGAGGTGAGCTCAGAACGCGACCGTGCAAGCAACGGGGTGAGCTCAGCACGTTTCCGTGCGAGCCCAGAAGAGGAAGGCCAAGGAGCGCATTACATTGGATCCAGTGTGGTCCGAGTGACGCTGTGCTGCTTTACGCGCATTACATGGGTTCCCGTGTTGTCCGCTTGACGCCTTGACGCTTTGTCGAGGGGGGCCCTCTTGGTGCTGTCCTGAGGCCCTGTTGGGCGCTTCTGGGGGCTTGCTGAAGACCTCGTAAGGTGAGCTCAGGAAATTGCCGTACGAGCCAGGAAGTCCCGGGGCAGTCCGTTTGTCGCTGTGACGCTTGGGGGCCTCTTGGGGCCTCCTCAGGTCCTTCAGCCGTCCCGGGGCCCTCCTGAGGGAGTCCCGGGGCTGTTCGTTTGTCGCTCTGACGCTGTGTCGAGGCGCTCCCGGCAGTCCTGGGATCTTGGGGCAGTTATGGGGCTCTCTTGGGGGCTTGTCGGGGCTTTATGGAGGCGTCATGAGGTCTTGAGGCCTGTTGGGGTCTTTTTGGGCGTCACTTGGGGTCATTGGGGCAGAGAACCCGAAAAATCGCTTCCCAGGCGTTCCCTTGAGACGCGATCCATGTGGTGATGAAGTCGGTGGTGAGGTGGCGAGGCCATCTTGTTTGGGGCGTGCGTTCCGCAGGCGAGCTTGGTGGAAGTAGGCGCGCTGCTGTGAGGATCCGTTGCACGTACTCGGAGCGCAGGTCGTCGTTGTACCCCTTGAAGGGCACGCCCAAAGCGATGCACCAATCTTCGAGTGTGATGTCAGTGCTGCCGTTTCGCTGCCTCTTTCGAGGGCTCCATGCTTGTAAGCCCGACTCCAGGGTCGCTTCCCAGGCGTCTCCTTGAGACGCAATCCATGTGGTGATGCAGTCGGTAGTGAGGTGTCGAGGCCATTTGGTTGGAGTCGTGCGTTCCGATGGCGAGCTTCGTGGAAGCAGGCGCGCTGCTGTGAGGAGCCGTTGCACGTACTCGGAGCGCAAGTCATTGCGATACCCTCTGAAGGGCACTTCGAGGGCGATGCACCAGTCTTCCACGGTAATGGTGGTGAGGCCCTGACGCTGGGCTTTACGGGGCTTCCATGTTTGCAGACCCGTTGTCAGAGACGATTCCCAATTGTCGCCATGAGTCGCAATCCAATCCGAAATGAAGGCCTTGGTGAGTGTGCGCGGCCAACGCGTCGACGAAGGCATGTGTGCTCGGGGTATGGCGATGCAGGAATGTCGCCAGACGTGAAACACATTGCAGCAGGCCTTGGGTGCGCGCGCCCGGTCGGATCTAAGTGGCGACGGATCCTGGGGGCTCCAGGGGAGGCCATGGGGCCATGGGGCAACGTGAAAGTCATGCTGGGGGCATGTTGGACCGCAGTCCGGAGAGAAAGGTAGCGGGAGGAAAGATGGTGCGTCTTGGAGGTGAGCTGAGCACGCGACCATGCGAGGGACGAGGTGAGCTCAGCACGTTCCCATGCGAGCCACCACCGGCAGGCCGGAGAGAAAGGCAGCGGAGAAAAAGATAGTGCGTCTTGGAGGGGAGCTCAGCACGCGACCGTACGAGTGACGAGGTGAGCGCAGCACGGTCCCATGCGAGCCACCGGCGGGGGGAGGGTGTCGCGGGTGCACATGGCGGGCGAGGCAAGGGAGTCGGAGGGCCCTGGGAGGCCCCTGGCGGCCTCGGGTATGGTGAGGGGGTGTGTAGGGAACGTTTATAAGGAAAAGGGTACCAAAAAAACGACGGTACGTGTTGGAGGTGGGGAGCGCACGCGACCAAGCGAGGCAGGACGTGAGCTCAGCACGTGTCCATGCGAGCCACATGGAAGGGAGGGGGGGAGCTCAGCACGCGACCATGTGAGTCACGAGGTAGGCTCAGCACGTTTCCATGCGGGCCACAGGAAGGGAGGGGACGCGATGTCGCAGGACGGGCGAGAGGATGGAGTTTTGGGGATGTGGAGGTCCTGGGGGCTCTCGGGTTGTGCTGGAGGTTTTGTCGGGCACGTGTCTGACTGTATGAGGACTGAATTGGACGACCTGCGGCGTGAGTCTCCTGGGGTCCTCGGGTTTCGTGGGAGGTTGTGCCGGGCACGTTTCTGAGGAGAAGGTGGCCCCAAAAAACGGCGGTACGTGTTGGAGGCGGGGTCTCTTCGGGCGGGGAGCCCGAACTGTCGGTCCCTGCCCCCCCTCTGGGGGCTCTCTTGAGGCGTTCCTGGGTCCTTCTGAAGCCGTCTTGGAAGGCTGCGAGACCCAGGGAAGGAAAGCAGAGGATGCCTACATGGTGCACTATGTTGGTTCCCTGGTTGTCCGTTTGGGCAGTTGGGTTCCGGCGGAAGGGTTCGTGAGGCTTGCTGGGGCCTTCTTCAGACTGTCGTGAGGGGCCTTCGGGGTGAGATTAGCGAGTTGCCATGCGTGAGGCGAAGTGGGCGCAGGACGGGGCCATGCGAGGCCTTAGAAGAACTCGGGTTTGGTGAGGTAGCGCGCTGGAAAGGGCGAAAAGAACGATTTGTGGGAGTTGGCCGAGAGGTGATTGGAACGAGATGCGAGACCCATGGAAATAAAGAAGAGGATGCCTTGATGGTGTACTATGTTGGTTCCGTGGTTGTCCGTTTGGGCAGTTGGGCTCCGAGACAGATTAGGTGAGCTCAGCACGCGACCATGCGAGCCACCGGGTTTGGAAAGGATGTGCGCAAGAAAAGATGACAGAAGGAACACGAGCGTGAGTGGAGCACGTTGCCACACAACGCAGTCTGGGGGACTGGTGGGAACTTGACTGGGGGACTTGTGGGAACTTGACATTTCGACTGGGGCTTTTCTGGCCAAGCTTCCTGAATGAAAAGGTATCCAAAAAAGGACGGTGCATCTCGGAGCGGATCTCAGGACGCCATCCTGGGGCCCTCTTGAGGCAGTGTCGGGGTCCGAGGCGAAGTGTGCAGAGGACGGGGCCATGCGAGGCCTTAGGAAAACTTTGGTTTGGTGAGGTAGCGCGCTGGAAAGGGGAAAAAGAACGCTTCATGGGAGTTGGCCGAGAGGTGATTGGAAAGAGATGCGAGACCCACGGAACTAAAGAAGAGGATGCCTTGATGGTGCACTATGTTGGTGCCCTGGTTGTCCGTTTGGGCAGTTGGGCTCGGAGACATAGTAGGTGAGCTCAGCACGCGACCATGCGAGCCACCGGCTTTGGAAAGGATGTGCGCAAGAAAAGATGACAGAAGGCACACGAGCGTGAGTTGAGCACGTTGCCCGTGAACGCTTTCTGGGGGACTTGTGGGAACTTGAAATTTCGACTGGGGCTTTTGTGGCGAAGCTTCCTGGATGAGAAGGTATCCAAAAAAGGACGGTGCATCTCGGAGCGGAGGTCAGGTCCTGGGGCCCTCTTGAGGCAGTGTCGGGGCCCTCTTGGGCGCTGCTAGGGGCTTCCTGGAGGCTTCTGGGGGCTTCCTCGAGGCGTCTTGCGGCCACTATGTTGGTTCCCTGGTTGTCCGTTTGGGCAGTTGAGCTCGGAGACATAGTAGGTGAGCTCAGCACGCGACCATGCGAGCCACCGGGTTTGGAAAGGATGTGCGCAAGAAAAGATGACAGAAGGCACACGAGCGTGAGTTGAGCACGTTGCCCGTCAACGCTTTCTGGGGGACTTGTGGGAACTTGGAATTTCGACTGGGGCTTTTCTGGCCAAGCTTCCTGGATGAGAAGGTATCCAAAAAAGGACGGTGCATCTCGGAGCGGAGGTCAGGTCCTGGGGCCCTCTTGAGGCAGTGTCGGGGCCCTCTTGGGCGCTTCTAGGGGCTTCCTGGAGGCTTTTGGGGGCTTCCTGGAGGCGTCTTGCGGCCTCTTGGAGGCTCTTCGGGGCCTCCTGGGGGCCTCTTGGTGTCTCCTGGGGGTCTCTTCGGGAGGGGAGCCCGAAATGTCGGAACTTAAGAAGAGGATGCCTTGATGGTGCACTATGTTGGTTCCCTGGTTGTCCGTTTGGGCAGGTGGGCTCGGAGACATATTTGGTGAGCTCAGCACGCGACCATGCGAGCCACCAGGTTTGGAAAGGATGTGCGCAAGAAAAGATGACAGAAGGCACTTGGAGTCTCTTCGGGGCCTCCTGGTGGCCTCTTGGTGACTTCTGGGGGGAGCCCGAAATGTCGGAACTAAAAAAGAAGATGTCTTGATGGTGCACTATGTTGGTTCCGTGGTTGTCCGTTTGGGCAGTTGGGCTCGGAGACATATTAGGTGAGCTCAGCACGCGACCATGCGAGCCACCAGGTTTGGAAAGGATGTGCGCAAGAAAAGATGACAGAAGGAACACGAGCGTGAGTGGAGCACGTTGCCCGTCAACGCTTTCTGGGGGACTTGTGGTAACTTGAAATTTCGACTGGGGCTTTTCTGGCCAAGCTTCTTGGATGAAAAGGTATCCAAAAAAGGACGGTACATCTCGGAGCGGAGGTCAGGTCCTGGGGCCCTCTTGAGGCAGTGTCGGGGCCCTCTTGGGCGCTTCTGGGAGCTTCCTGGAGGCTTCTGGGGGCTTCCTGGAGGCGTCTTGAAGCCTCTTGGAGGCCTCTTCGGGGCCTCCTGGGGGTCTCTTCGGGCGGGGAGCTGAAATGTCGGTGCCTGCCTCCCCCCTGGGGACTCTCTTGGGGCGTTCCTGGCACCTTCTGAGGCCGTCTTGGAGGCGACTTGGGCCGTCTTGGGGGCTTTTTGGGCCGTCTGGGCGCTCTCTTGGGGGCCGCTTACGCCGTCTTGGAGCGATCTTTGGGGCCTCTTGGGCCGTCTTGGAGTGCGGAAAACACACACACAAAGCAAAAAAAGTGTGAGACGAAACACGCAGAAAAACATACAAACTGGTGTGTTGTTTTCCCTACAACGGTGGGACAAAAAAAAACACACGCTGTGTGCTTTGTTTTTGTGTATGAAGTGTGTGTTTTGTGTGCTTCTTCCTACAGAACCTGCTGGTCAAGCCTTGGGACTACGAGTGGCGAAGATGTCTCGGGCGGGTCGCCCAGCCCGCCCTAACCGACACGTGTGTGGGGGGGGGGCGCGTCGGGGAAGAGGCCTGTGTGAGGAACGCGGACGGAGGAGCAGGAATGAGCAGGAGAATGAGCAGGACGGCGAGAATGGCCCAGCGCGAAGAGGAGAGTTAGCAGACGAAGAGTGGTATAGAAATAAAGCTTCCCGCCGTCGGGGACGCCTGCCCCACTGCGGCTGGAAAGCTTCTACCCTTACGATGGTACGTCGGGGCATCAACTTTCACACCGCCGTGGGGCAGGCGTCTCCGACGGTGGAAAAATTCAGTTTATACCGCTCTTCGTCGGAAAAATGAGAAGGAAGAGGAGGAGGAGGAGGAGGGGGAGGAGGAGGACGGCGAAGAGGAGAGGAGGAAGAGGAGGAAGAGGAGGAAGAGGAGGAGGAGGAGGCGGCGGAGGAGGAGGAGGAGGAGGAGGAGGAGAAAGAGGAGGAACTGGAGGAAGAGATGAAGGAGGAGGAGGAGCAGGAGGAAAAGGGAGGAGGACGGTGAAGAGGCCCCCGCTGGCCTGGACGTCGGAGGCGATCGGCCCCTTCTTCCCCTGGGGGCCGGGCGCGGAAGGCGGGCGATGTCCTTCCTGGTCCCTCCTCGCCTCCTCCTCGCCTCCTCCTGCGGTCTGCCTCGTGCCGCTGCAAGGCTTTTCCTCGTCTTCTCCTCCTCCTCCTCCTCCTCCTCGTCTTCTCCTTGTCTTGCTGGCGATCTCCTTCCTCCTCCTCCTCCTCCTCCTCCTCCTCCTCCTCCTCCTCCTCCTCCTCCTCCTCCTCCTCCTCCCCCTCCTCCATTTCGCTTCCTTATAAATGTAATTTCCCCCTGTCGCACCCCGAGGCCGGTCGAAAGGGCGGGCCGGGCGTTTCGCCTGAGGCTCCCTCACCATCTATGACCCTGAAGCTTAAACATTGAGAACAGTTTGGCAGATGGAGGGCGGGCCGTTTTCTAAATGTGGCTCTCGCGTTACCGCCGCGCACATTCGTCTCAAAGATTCGCAAGAGCTTCGCGGACTGAGGGCGGGTGGTTGTCAAAATGTTGCTCTCGCCTTAGCGCCGCGCACATTCGATTTAAACATTTGCAAGAGTTTCACGGATTGAGGGCAGGCGTTCTCAAAATGTGGCTCTCGCGTTACCGCCGCGCACATTCGTTTTGAAACAATGTGATTCTCGCCTTAGCGCCGGACATATTCGTTGAAAAACGAAAGAGTTTCACTGATTGGCTCTCGCCTAAGCGATGCGAACATTCCAAAAACAAATGCACCAAGGGTTTCGCGGATTCCCATGGTCAACGTACCAGAAATGGCGATTTCAAAAGATTCTGGATTATGAGGGTGCAAAGGTTACTTTGATTCGCGGCGTTGATGTCCAAGGAATAGCGTTCTGGCAAGATTCAGGATCGCCAAGACGCGCCAGTCAGGTTGATCCGTGGCGCTGGAGTCCCGAGAATAATGTTGTGGCACGCTTCAGGCCCTTCAAACGGTTGTCTTCCAACGAGGCAGTTCCCTCTATGAAAATGAACCTGTTACAGTGGCCTCTGAAGAGGGAGCTTGGAGGGAAAGTTTATTCCTACATCGTTGATGAGTCTTGGGTTTACACTGGTCCTCCTCCTTCTCCTCCTCAACATCTTCTCCTCGCCTAGCTGGCGATCTCCTTCCTCCTCCTCGTCTTCCTCCTCGTCTACTTCCGCCTCTCGAAACGTGTTTGTGTGTGTGTGTGTGTGCGTGTGTGTGTGTGTGTTTGGGTGGGGTGGGAGCTACGATTCGCCATGACGCGCGCTTCCAGGGACCCGCGCCCTCCCCTTTCTAAGATGAAGCCAGGATCGGGGCAACATTTGACCGGGATAAAAATCATGCTCGGTTTTTCAAATCACCTGGGGCGCCGCCGAACGGGCCTGCCACGCCTTGGGCGCCATCGGCTTCGCGAGGGAAGAAATGCGCCCCGGCGCGGATGAAGCCACGGCGCGTGTTTGGACACGCGCACGCCCGAGGGAATTCAGCGCCAAGCGCCTTTCACTCCAGAAGGCCCGGCGTCAACGAAACAAACTTGAGGCCCCAAGGGGCCCCCAAGGAGGCGGACCGCCAAAACAATCGCGCAACCAACGCAACGAAAAAACACGAAAATGTTAAAACGCGCGTTGCTCAGTGACCTCTTCGGCCACGCAACACCGCGATGATGCCCAAGAAGGCATTGGAAAAAAAAGTTCCGAGCGCGGCCAGGCGACTTCCCCGCGCCGCCCCAAAATTCCCGAAGCGCGCCGAAATAACCGTAGAGAACACCCCGGAAAGTCTTTGGAAAGTCCCCGCGCCATGCAAGATCCGCCACCGAACAATCTCGCGGACACCTAGCGCGTACGCGCGGGCGTCCACCATGGATGCCCAACTCCGGTTTCCGAGACAATCGCGCGCAACCGCCTGGGGGCCTCGGCAACCTCGCGATTGGCCCAGGGGCCCGCGGGCCCCAGGGAATCGAATACCGAGTTCGCAACTCCGGAAGCATCGGGCGCGGCGCCAGCCAGTCGCTCGTCTCTGGCTGACAGGACGCCTGGAGACCCGGTAAAACCTAAGGAACCGCTTTTCAGAGATTCGCAGAGACAGAAACCGGGGCGCGCCAAATTCTCGCGTCCGAACTTCTCTGAGAATCTCGGAAAATCTCTGAACTAGCCACCCCGCGTGAAACATTCCCATAAACCCAAAACCTCGGAGCTGGCCGAAACTCTCTGAGAGTTTTTCGGCCCGCGAAATTTGGCGCGCCCGGATTTCTGGTTCCGAGATTCTCTGAAATCGCGCTGCGGCGGCGCCCAGCAGGTCCTCGCGCGCCCAGGGTGGGGGCCGTGGACATCACGGGCCGCGATGGCCCCGACCGCGAGGCCCCTCCTCCTGCCCCTCGACGAGTCCACGCTCATGGACACGCTCTCTGCGCTGAGCGTGGACCGCGCCATCCGCCGGTACTTCTGCGCGACGACAGCCAACTGGCCGCCGACGGACAAGGCGATTTTTCTCCGAGCTGCGCGTGCCACCGAAAACATACAATAGCCCCGGGATCGGGGAGAAACACTTTCGCAACATTTTCAGGCCGCCAGCGTCGTGGCTGCCGACCCGCCGCGCGCCGACCGAGAGACTAGCTGGGCCCGCTACGTCCACGGCGGCGGGCGGGCGCCCAAGAGAGCTGTCGCCACGGTGCGCGCGGCGGGGCGCCCGCCCAACTGCAACCGCAAATGCGGCCTCCATGGCGCCACAGGCGTAATATTTGCGACGCATTCTCGGGCCCCCCATCAGCGCATTGGCCGGCGCCCAAGTCCCTGAGACGCAAACCTACTGCGCCCCCCCTGCAAGCCGCGCACCCGCTCACAATGCTCGTGCGCACCAGATTTTCTGCCCGCCCTCAACAGTTTAATTGAGCGCCCATGTGTTACTTGGGCTCCTCAAGCCCTCGAACACTCTTTGGGAACTTCTGCGAATGCGCGCGCTGCGCTCCACAAATCGGCGTTCTATTTTTCTCTTGAACTCTCCCAGAATCTCTGGATCCGATTTGTCCCGATCTTCAGCTCAACTGACTTTCCCCCCAGTAGCGTAAGGATTCGCGCTCTCGCCGTCAGGGAACGGCTAGGGGGGGCTCATTCCCAGACGGAGCCGGCGCGAATCATGACGCTGCCTGCCTCCTCCCCCCGCCCTGCCCAATGACGGCGGTTTGTCTTCGCGAGAGGATAAACAATGGGCGCCTGTCTCGACTTGACGTTGCACGGTCTCTGATCGAGTGCAGATTGCAGCTTCCCGCTCCATGAAATACCGACTTGGGCAAACAAAACGATGCAAGAAGACAAACAGGAAGCACGCCGCAAGTGAGAACGACGGATAGTGAAACTGCAACGCTAGATGCATCCTGCCTCCTCCGCCATCTCCGAAATCTGCAGGACCCCCCAGGAACGCGTCAATGCAACACGAGACCCTCACCTCTGGAGCTCCAGTCTGTCCTCCTCCTCCTGCTCCTCCTCCTCCTCCTCCTCCTCCTCCTCCTCCTCCTCCCCCTCCTCCTCCTCCTCCTCCTCCTCCCCCTCCTCCTCCTCCTCCTCCTCCTCCTCCTCCTCCTCCTCCTCCTCCTCCTCCTCCTCCTCCGCCTTCTACTCCATGGGCGGCTCCTGGGCCACCGAGAAGGTCAAGGACTGGCCGATGCCCACCGGGAGCCCCTTGAATTCCGAGGACATCACGAAGATGTCCTTGCCGTACAGCGCCCTGGTAGCGTCGCACTCGATGAAGCCCCACCCCTTCTCCTCGACGGCACGAGGGCTTTGGGCCAGCGCGCGGGCAGCCTCCCCAGAGCCGGCCCAGGCCGGCCTCAGCAGGCGCCCCTAAGGTACAGCACGCACGCGCGGTGAGCAAACCTGCTCCGAGAGATGCCGGGGCACACTGCTCGTCGATGCTCGAGGGCCCCGAGTGCCCCAGAGCCTCTGTGGGTCCGTGGGCCATCGGGGGGCCAGGCATCTCCGGGGGGCACTCGCTAGCAGGCGGCGGAGGAGGAGGAGGAGGAGGAGGAGGAGGAGGAGGAGGAGGAGGGAGGATGAGGAGGAGGAGGAGGAGGAGGAGGTTGGCGCGTCTACTGTCGCCCGCTGCGGTCTCTGGCGCCACCCTTGGGGCACCCGGCGCCCCAGGGTTGGGCTGCCGAGGCCGGCCCGAGCGGCCCCGACGGCCCTGCCGAGGCCTGCCAGGACGACCCCTTGGGGGGGGGGGGGGCCTTGGCGCGCAGGCAGCCCCAAGCCCTGCCCCGTTCCTGGTTGTAGGTCTTCAGGATCCCGGAGTAGAGCCCCGACCCCTGCGGGGCCGCGGAGGCCGCCGAGTTGAGGTAGACCACCGACTGGGCCATCGGGCCGTTCTTGCCCTGCGTGATCTGGAAGGACACCACGTCGCCCCTGGAAGCCTGGAACTCGCCGCTCAGCTCGCTCTTCAAGAAGAAGATGTCCTTCCCGAGCACCTGTGGGGCCCGTGTGAGATGTGAGAAGTCATCTCGTCAGGCAGTACAGAGCGAGCCACCACAACGGGAGCAAACGCAGCACCAGCGTAAACCTTCGGAGGTCCGCACGGATTTCTTGGATCGGCGCTGGGCCCCCCCTCCCTGGCGCGCGGAGCGCGTCTGGGGTGGCACTGGAGGCGCAAACAGGGCGACCCAGTTCCAATCCA